CTCTCTCTTACTCTCTCTCTCTTTCCCCTCTCTCCTTTTCTCTCTTACCCTTCTCTCTCTTACTCTCTCACTCTTTGTCTCTTTTCTTTCTCTCTGTCTCTCATTCTCTCTCACAAGTCAGTGGGACCGACGACTAAGCCGTCGCCCGGATCTCTTTCCCTTTTTTCTTTTTTTTCCCTTCTTTATCCATCTCCCTCCCTCTCCCGGCTCAATCAAGCCAACGGCTAAGCCACTAACTCCCTCTCTTTCTCTCCCTCTCTTTCCTTTCTCTCTCCCCTTCTCTCTCCCTCTCTCTTTTCTTTCTTACTCTCTCTCTTTCCCCTTTCTCCTTTTCTCTCTTTTCCTTCTCTCTTATTCTCTCACTCTCTTTCTTTCACTTTTATTCTCTTTTCTATCTCTCTCCTCTCTAACAAGTCAATGGGACTAGTGACTAAGCTGCTGGCCCAATCTCTCTCCCCTTTTTTCTTTTTTCTCTCCCTTCTCTTCTCTTCTCCTTTTCTCTCTCCTTTCTCTTTTCTTTTACTTTTTCTTCTCTCTCTCTTTCTCTCTCCCTCGGTTTGACTGAGCCAGCGGCTCCCTCTCTCTTTCCCTTCTTTCTCTCTCTCCCTCTCTCTCTCGGTTCAACCAAGCCGGCAGCTAAGCTACCAGATCCCTCTCTTTCTCTCCCTCTCATTCCCTTCTTTCTCTCTCTCCCTCTCTCTCCTTGCTCAACTGAGCCGGCAGCTAAGCTGTCAGCTCCCTCTCTTTCTCTCCCTCTCTATCCTTTCTCTTCCATTCTCTCTCCCTCTCTCTTTTCTTTCTTACTATCTCTCTCTTTCCGCTCTCTCCCTTTCTCTCTGTCCCTTCTCTCTTACTCTCTCACTGTCTCTCTTTTCTCTCACTCTCGATCTCTCTCTCACTCTTTCTTTCTCTCGTTTCCTCTCTCTCTCTTTCTCTCTCTTTCTCTCTTTTTCTCACTTTTCTCTCTCATTTTTTCTTACTCTCTCTTTCTATCTCTCTCTATCTCTCTCTAGCTCTCTCTCTCTTACTCTCCATCTCTCTCTCTCGGTCTCCCTTTCTCTCTTTCTCTCTCTCGCTTTCTCTCTCTTTCTCTCCCTCTCTTTTATTCCCTTTCTCCCTCTATTTCTCGTTTCTTCCTCTCTCTTTATTTCTCTCTTGCTCTCTCTTTCTCTTTCTCTCTTCCTTTCTTACTCTCTCGCAGTCTCTTTCTTTCTTACCCTCTCTCTCTCTTTTCTCTCTCGCCCTCAGTCTCTCTCTTACTTGCTTCCTCTCTCCATATTACTCTCTCTCTTGCTCTTACTCTCTCTTTCTCTCTTCCTTTCTTAGTCTCTCGCACTCTCTTTCTTTCTTACTGTCTCTATCTTACTCTCTCATACTCTCTCCTTCTCTCTCGCTCTCTCTCTTATTTTCTCTCTCTCTTCCCCTCTCTCTCTTTTTGTCTCTCTTTCTATTTTTCGTTCTTCTCCTCTCTCTTTATTTCTCACTCTCCTCTCTCTTTTGCTATCCCTCTCTCTAACTCTCTCTCTTACTCTCTCTCTCACTCTCTATTTTTTTTCCTTCTGTTCTCTTCTCTGTCTCCTCATTTCCCTTTTATTTCTCCCTCCCCTGATCCCCTGACTATCATCTCTCCCATCACCATAGAGTCCTTCGTTAAGATGGCACCATAGAATTGCCAAATTGACAATGGACTATGCAATACTATCACCCCCTTTTACCTTCACCCATTG